CGTTTGATTTAGTTGAGATAGAAGCAGTTTTGGAATCCCTTGATAGTCAAGGAGCCCTACTCAGTACATAAAGATCCTTCGTGGGCTGTACAAAAAATTCACATCCAAGATATCACCATTCTACAACGATATTAACATTGACGTCGAAAGAGGAGTTAGGCAAGGCGATACCATCGCGCCAAAATTACCGCCACCCTCCAGAACGTCATGCGAACATTGGAATGGGATAATATGGGAGTGAAAATCGACGGTCGGCAGCTACACCATCTTCGCTTTACTGATGACATCGTCCTTATAACACCGAATATTAGCCAAGCGGAACGTATGCTTGACGACTTTGATAAAGCCTGTGGAAAGATTGGTCTTCGACTAAATTTCACAAAAACGATGTTCATGAAGAACGGATTGGTTTCGCATGCCCCATTCACGCTCAACGGAACGAATATCTCCGAATGCTCCAGTTATATCTATCTAGGTCGCGAAATCAATGTGATGAACGACCTAGCTCCAGAGCTGAGCAGATGGAAATGAGCGGCTTGAGCAGCTTTCAAGATCATCGAGGATGCAGTGAAGAGAACAAAGAATACCCAACTCCGTGGCCACCTTCCTGACTGAACGGTACTTCGTGCCCTAATGTATGCGTCAGGAACCTGGTCGCTGCGTAAGCAGGATGAAAGATCACTCAGCGTTATCGAACGCGCCGTCGAAAGGATGATGCCAGGAGTATCCCGGTCCGCACAAGTAAGGGATGTGATCCGAAGCTCCGATCTGCGTCAACGATCAAAAATCAAAGATGCTATTCTGAACGCCAAACGGTCGAAGATAAGGTGGGCCGGACACGTAATGCGTATGAATGACAACCGATGGACAAGAGTCGTTAGTGAGTGGATTCTTCGGGATGTCAAACGCACTGCTGGAAGATCATCGACCCGATGGTCAGAGTTCTTTATAGAGACCTTGAAGAAAGATATGATGCTCGACGAGTCCCTAGAGCAAGCAGAACCAACTGGGCTACTCTTGCACGCGATAGGGAAAAATGGAAGATTTACTAGCGCCCACTCGAGTCACTCGAGGATCAGCGGGACTACAGGTGATACAGGTGACAATCTTTCAAAAATGCAGTTTTGTGGCTAGAACTGAGACATTACGAATGTTTGTAGGAATGGATGCTTCTCGCTGATCTGAATGGCACCTTCGCAGCAGATCCGGATTCGTGACATTTCACCATTACCATATAATAGCCAACGCATCTCCAATTTTTGTAGAACACAGCCTATTCCGTAACATGCAGGAGGAGAGGTGAAGGCGCTCTATCTTTTAAATGACACCGAAATACACTCGAATCTGAACTCATAAAATTTTCTGCACATTCTGTTACTCTGATGGCTTGACGGCAAACATAGTGTCATGTGCTCTTAATAACATTATAATATCCTTTTCATCATTTTACTTAAACACTAACATTTTGCTGCGCTTCCATGTACCCTTTTCTACAGCTTCTGTAGGATAACCTGTTTGAGATGTGCTTTCTTGTCCTTTCATCATGTGCCAATAAAATAATTACTGGTAAGTTCTCTTAAGTGACTACTCAGCAGACATTCTTGTACCGTTCATAGGTGTCTTCGTTCATCCAATAAATCATCCGCGAGCTTCATCACTCCCAAATCAGCCACGTTTTCTTATTCTCAAAACATCGTTACCAGCGCACACGATAATGTTACCGTGAAAAAACTTTGTGCACAAGTTAAACAATGTTCGTGCATCTTTGGGCTTTCAATGTGGCGCATATTGACGAAATGAAACTCACAATATAAATGGCATCAGAGTTTTGCCAACATATATCTCTTTGCCGAATCTATATACTCTCTCACTGTTTCTATAAGTGGATTAAGAAGCGGATTACTTAACAACTTGTCTTATAATACTTTGCACCTTCTTATTGCTTTGAACAGAAAAGGATCGGAGCCAAAGATGAAGTATGTGCTTCATTAATCAAACAGTTTTGGCGCCTTAACAATTCCTACATCGAGGGTAAAGACTGTTGAATCTTCTCTGCGCTTCAACAGTTGTTCGTTCTTTTGACAGATCTTTCTCTTTTCCATATAAGTACGTCCTGTTTACAGTCGTATCTCAAATACAAGCGATAAGCACTTCATAAATACTTATTCACTCTGTACATTCAAGCAAGAGCAGTTATCTCATTCAAAATTGACTATCACTGAAAATCCAGTGGTCATAAGACCCCACATGTTCTGATCCTTCACCGGTTGCACTATTACTGCCTCATACCTCATCGTTATCACTTTCACCCTCATTTACCAGACTCATTTTTTCGGAGTCGTCAACATCCACAACAAGAGGTTTCTCATTTCCTTCAATGTCTTCCGTTCTTTCTCGGCTAGCGGTCAATCGAAAACAAAGGTCTATTCGTATGACGCCGAAGTAACTCAAGGCTACGAAGTTCAATTTTAACTAACTGATTGTTCGTCAATCTTCGATCGATACGATAAATCATAGTTGTCCTATCGATTCCGCAGATATAAAAACACACTAACAACAAAAATGCACCATTGCGGTCTTACAAAAGAAAGCGGGTAGCCCAATGGTAGCGATCGCATTCACTACGCCAACTTATCCAGTACTGACTCGGCTTCAGGCGCGCCAATCTTCAAGTCTCCAAGGTTGGGAGATTCGTAACAAATTTGTCTGAAACCAAAGTACACTTCCTCTAACTACGTGGGAACGTCCCAAAACGGCTATTTCAGGATTCCAGGAAGAATCTACTCGACCAGCAATCAAGGATATTTGTGACGGTAACCAGAAATTCCACAGGCGCCAGCCGAACCTACATAGAAAAATTTTCCGAAGACCTTTGTGAATGATGAATGTGAGTAAATAAATCAAATGAAAGTGCAGCGAACAGCACATTTGCCATACATGTAATGTATGGTCATCTAATAATAAAGAAATAGAATATCTCACAAAACCTTCCAGAAAGCAGGTGGAAATGCGGTTCGATGATGGGTAATTTTTTCTTCCTCACACAGAATAGTTGGATAGTTTCAAAAAATGGAAAGACCCAAAGAGGAACACAAAAGATATGAGAACATTTAGAAAAAAAGAAGTGAGCGTACAAATGCGTGCAGAATCTACAACACAACGCCAAAACAGCAAAAACAGATGTTATTCTTGGGAGGAAATGGAGTCGTATGCACTGAGCTAAAAAACAATTTTAATCCCATATGATGGTCACGCAAAATGAGGCGCAGTCCCATATTTGCTAATAACGAAAAGTATTTCTTCTTTAGAGGGCGGATAGCACAGTCGTAGTGATGTCCGTCATCACGACTATGGTGCTAGTTCGATTTCCCTCCGGGCCAACCAGGCCCCTCCATCCTTTCCGGTCGGGAAATTGATGCCGGACTTGTCTGGGAAAAAATCGCTCTCTGAAATCTAATCTGGAACGCTCCAACCCGGCTACCAGAGGACTCCAGGGAGAATTGCTCTCGATCAGCATTGTACGACATTCAAGATGAAATGAAAATCCTCAAGCAGTAACCGAAACCACACGTAAAGTTGGAAGATCTTCATGGACAATGGATGCGCGGAAACGAATTGAATGTGAAGAGTGCTGGGATCCGCACAATAGACGTGAAAACGGGTCATATGAAAGAAAATCTTTAAAAAAAAAAAGGATCCCGGCGTTAATCACTCCCTTAGGGATGTGCCATGCATTCGACTTCATTGAGCATCGCTTGGATGTGATTGAATGCATATCTGACCTTTACAATGACGCGGTAGCCAAACGATGTATCGAGCCAGTGTTGCTATCCTCCCAGACAAATCCGGCACCAAATAGTCCGGTATAAAATAAAAAATAAAATAAAACTTCTTCTTTGAAATATTTCACTCGGAAAGATACAAGAAAGTTGTACTGATTAAGACTAACATCGGTCCGAAGCCCTCTGTTTACTAACTGCTGATAATTTTCCGATAACTGGAACACTTGAGGAGCTTAAAATATGTAGGGATTAAAAAAGGTACTTTGTTCTATCTACTTACGAGTAACTACGGATCTTTAAAGCTGTTATTTGGTCTTTAAATCTGCGTATAATTAAAATTTATAGAAGAAATTAAATCTCTTCAAATTCCAAATGAAATCCCTCAAGCATCCATGAACATTAACAACGCACTTGAGAAAATCGTCGTGTTCTGGTGGACGTCATATCGTTTGTTCAATTGCTTCGAAATACGAGCCAAGAGGAAAAAAGTGACAAAACTACGATTCCTGAGCTCCAGGACCAGGATCAGGATTTCATCTCGTTGGAAATAAGAGACCTCACATGTCACTGCCGAATATCTCCAGATTCTAATAGTTTTTATTTTAGTTAAAAAAGTCTACTTTTGTCCCAGACATATTGGTTGAAAGTGAAAACAATACATTACTTTCGAACAGTGTAAGTGGAGACCAACTCACGTCGGACCTTAAATATTATGGGCGGCATGTATGCAATGAAATGATTAGAGGTGTCCTCTAAGATATAGTGTCGTTTGAGAGCTATTTAATCACTTCCACGATGCTTAACGTATTCGCGACGAAGTGATCTCTATTGGGAGTCATATGGTGCGAAATGAACAATTAACAATAGATGTATGAACAACAAACGTTTAGATATGCATAACACTTACGACTATTGTAAACAAGAGAAACGAATGCAAGTCGTATCCATGGAGATTGAGAAATTTTTCAACAACACATCAGTTTAACATCAGATGGAAAAGGACGAGCAGAAGATGTGGGGTTTTCAATTTAAGAAAAGCCACTTACGATTCAGAAGGGACGACGGCATTTTTGACAGAGGAATTCGAATCCGTTTGGTGATGCAGCATATGAAATATCAAACAATAAGTAACAGAAAGAGAACCAGTCAAATGAGATAAAGACATATTAAATGAAAAATGTTCTTCATATAGACAGAGGTCACAGTAAGCACTAGTACCTCGAAATTTCCGCAAGAAGTGTTGGGAGTGCGAAGTGCACTTCCTACATGAAACAAACCGGATACGATACGGTTCAAAGACGGGTGATCTGAAAATCTGCGCAATTGCAATAACCAAATTTTGAAGATTTTGAGGAGGAGAATTGGTGAGGTTAAGAGAAGAAAATGGTTTAACCCACTACAGAAATGAAACATTGCACAATAAATCCTACACACCTTCATCCTGGCTCATAAGAAGATGAGGAATGCTTAGATGTGGATCGCTTTTACTTAGCGATCGTAGAATAATGGCAGGTGGTTTTGTGAGATGTAAACGATCATGATCCTCTTCATGAACATGAAACGAGACATGGTGTGCCAAACCCGGCTGATCCATCTATAATACTGTTCATGTCTTCTGACAATAATTCACATATCTTCACAAAGAATTAAAAAAAGAATACGTTAGAGTGAATATGAAAATAAATAAATGGGCGATAAATGTTGAACGGACCAAGGCGATATTTCGTGTGGGTCTAAATGCTAGTGAAGAAAGAATTAGTACAAGAATGACGTAATGAAAAATACGAAGAATTACTTGATCAATGCCGAGGTTAATAGAAGGTCGGTCGTGGGAGTTACTGCAAGACGTACCGAAAAATGCTTCGTTAGAAAGCGCTATCTGGAGCTTGGTGTTAACTCACATGGTCACATTTCTCTCTAGCAAACGTATAAAGGTGACCTGTAGGGCAATACAGTTTTTTGGAAACTATGACACAAAACAGTATATGACGGTCGTCATACGTTCTATAGTCGTTTCAAATAGAACCGATACTATGCTGTTTGAAAGTTTTCACTCATGGTATTTTATTAACTCTTTTGCGACGACGTGACCTCTATGGGAGTCATATAATGCGAAAACGATGTCAGCTTTCAACTTCAAATCAACGTTTCTCAGGTCGCAGTGGATTTTACTTAGCGCAACAGATGCTCCTGGAATCTGCAGATCTTTGTGTGTATGGTGCAAAACACCCTATTATACGAAGATGGAACTCGGATTTTCTACAGCTCACGGAACTTGGTTCCCTCAGTTTTTTGTTCAAAGACCTGCGGTGTAAGCATGAAAACAATTAAACAAAGAGGCCTCATCTAACAGGACAATATAGCGTTTCCGAATGCATCGTTTACGATTGTAGCAATCGCTGTTGCTTTGGAAATTTCAAAGCTTTAAATGACGTTTTGAAATTTTCGAAGAGTTCAGTTCTAAACATATTCATATTTATCTACGTATTTATATTTCTTTAAGCTTAAACTTGAAAACATATGGTACGAAGTTACATACGCGATTAATTCGAAACGCAAAGCCCTTTCTACAGACCTATAGAATTCCGAACTCTAGAAATATTCTAGTGAACCGTAAATCATTATCAGTTATCGGGAAATCATCGCGAAAGGGTAAATTTCAAGCATTTAACGCGAAGAGGGAGCATTATGTGAACGAAAGCTGAACAATAACGCACAACGACGGAAATGAGAAGAACATAAATCGCTCCACTTCTAGCAACAACAGGAATGCTGTATACTAAATGAAAACACGAGACGCAACGTTGTTTGGAAACGCGTACGAGACACAACTACTTAATTTTTCGTAAATTTCATTCGTAGCACATAGAAAGCACAAACGGCGTCCGATGTAGCGTACTACCCAATAGCCTAGAACTTCTAGTTATGACGTCGTCCGACTAAATCGCCAACTCATGCCGCTCTCAGTCGATCGATGCGACGCTGTACTATGGAATAACAATGCGAATGTGATTAGCACACTAAATCTCCAGAATAGGTGCACACATTGTGGAAGAAGACTTGCCACTTGAGGTGGAAGCTCTGCTATCCGACCTCCGAGCTCGACCGAATGAGTGCGAGACGCTGCGGCAGCGGCGGCGACGACGACGACGGCCCGTGACGGACGAGTGGCGGCCGCGCGCGGCCGGCCGCAGCACGTGAGGGCGGCCGACCGGCCGCCGATAGGCCGCCGACCGGCTGCGCCTCCCTCGACGCCGATCCGACTCATGAACTGGCGAGTATGTCGTTCTCAGTCAACAACCCTGTTTACCGCCACCGTCTGTGAGAGATGAATTGGTGTACTTCGCAGGGCGAACTGATAGCGGTGTTGTAGACGATCGCAGTTGTTCATTGAACCGCTCAATGTTCAGTGTGTATCGCGAGGATTGTAAATTGATTGAACACTGAATTTCTGCATGGACTCCGCCTTTGTGAAGTATTGCCGACTCAAACTACATGGCCAGTGATTACACGAAACATTAAACGTGCGCATTTCAGTGACGTTACCACTGACTTTAATTGAACCTCGACATAGATGGTCAGTCTCTTGTTTTATTGACCATAAAAGGACCATATTTTGTTGGCAATCGGCCAAACACCGTCCGTTACCTTTGGGAACTGCTTGGTAGAGTCAGGTCGCTCCATCGTGGTTAGAGCTCTCCATAAAATGGCAGTGCTACATCATTAGTGCAGTGCTCCCCTCTGCTCGATTCTTCTCGATTCGACGGCTACGAAGCCCAGGGCAAGAACGACCAACCGATGTCGCCACTTGACTCAAATCATCGTGGCTTTGAGGAAACCCTTCTCAGCTCCCACCGCCTATCTATACGGCAATTATAATCAGAAATACACTCAAATGCTTTATTTCGCCAATCGTCTGCATCATTTCGTTACCCATCCGTGTATTTCATGATTCCCTTGTTTATTATCGTCACATGAGCCCATTATTTCATTTCTGTACTTGGTATTTCAAACAGTTCACCAAGTGTGCATGTAATTCAATTGATAATCTGTAAGGCACGTATGCCACGCTCTTTAACCTCTTCTTATCAATAGTTTGCTGAAACATTTATTTCTGACAAGTGAATCAATGATCTCCAGTGTTATGGATGTGAACCAACGACCAGAAACTCAGTCTTCATCACGCGCATTAAGAAAAAATGCAACGAAGTAAGGGAGTGCGGTTCTAGTAGCCGTTGGAGAAACCTATCAGACAGGCCCATTCTTAGTCAATGTGCCACTGTAGCAAAGTAGTGAATGACACAAGATGGAACTACGTTCAGATTTTCCTGGGGCTGTTTACGCGAGTTTCTTAGGTCCAGGTCTACCTTATCATTACTATGGAATTTTATCATGTTATGATGTAAACAAGACGGCATAGATGGATGCAAGAATGCCACCAGCAGGAGATCTACAGCAGGATTACGGTGAGGAAACACGTCCGTTTAATATACCATGAACAATCAACATTTGCCTCACTAATAGGTAGATCTACCAGCCTTCTTTTTTTCCTGTGCGTTTGTTGGGGACCATTTTCAGTGTAACGTTCTAGAACGAGTATAAAACCAATTTGTGCTACCATCGGGAGCAGTGGTCATGCGGTATTCTACTTTCTTTCTTACTCCCAGCGTTTAAACCCGACTGAGGGCACGTTATCGCCTATGCAAAACCGAAACCGAATGAGTATGTTGGATGTGCTTGACGAAGAAAATTGTAAGAGTTCCTGAAACGATCAGGAGTGGGGATTACTATCAGTTGTTAATTTCAGATACATTATGTCTACTGCATGAGCAGCCAAATGATTGTTTATTATTAATGGACCATGTTGCTACGTGTTACTGCTTTCCAGGAAACAGTGTTGAATTTTGCAGACAAAATTATAGGCATGACTGATAGAGTGGAGAAATGGTGTAATCGAAATTCTTAACTCCAAGAGCAGAAGTCCCTTAAATGTTTTAAAACCTTTGGATAATTGCATGGTGCTTCGCATCCGTTGGGTTACAGAAGTGTGAATCAAAAATATCGTTATTACAACCGGAATTTATCGCTGCTTCACAATTCGTCTACTAAGTAACAGAAGTGAATGAGTGAGAAGCAAGCAGTTCTTGAAAGGAATTAGCTGAGAGCACAATGTATGCAATGAGAAAAAGCATGGTAGATTGTGAAGTGGACGTCTAAAAGAGTTCCACTGAGTTTGTAATGGCTTTATTGTTCTTCTTTCAAAAGGCGAAACAAGAGTGGACATCAGCTGTTCTGTTCTATTGTGCACTACTGCTCAAATTCGAAGCGAGTATCACTGACTCGAAATAATAGTGAAGTGTAACCGTACGTGCCTCATTTTATCACAGAGCAGAGTAGACCAGGAGATCTTCGAGGCTCGTTCAAAGAAGAATAAGCAATATGGTGTAAATAATATGTGCTACTTCTCAGTGATGATAGAAAGATGGAGATGATTCATTCGGCGTTACGCCATCCTTGAAGGTTCCGCCATGCATTCGATTTCGTCAAGAATTGTAGAGGCAACACTGAATGCATATCTGTCCTAGAGATCTGTCAGTTCGATATTTTTGTTCTCCCAGATATACCAATTTGCCGACTTCAAAGAAATCGAAGGCTTAGTGAGCTGGGAACGTGGAACCTACCGGTCCATTGTGTATTTCAGAATATCTCTAACATGCGCTATGTGTACAGTTTTGTGATGAACCAACTCCTATTCTTTGTGAGTAAACTAGCAACAAATATTGCCACCCTGAGGAAAAATTAGAAGTGCTGATATACCTCATTTCATTGACAAGCTAACGCGAGGTTGTTACCAAACATTTATTTCGCCAACGTTTACCAACGTCTTCGCCTTCCTCAAAACAGATGATCCTAGTTGATGGCTCACGGTCTGTTGGGACGACTCGTTGATATAGGAATACCGAGTAGTTAGGACAATTCGGTCGGAATTAGCTGCTCGCCTTTGTGTACGCCACGCGGGACTTCTTGTGATTAGTAGTCACAATGCCGGCCACCTCAAACTTGGGTAATTAAACTGTTTGTCATAATTATACAACAGTCATAACAATACAACTCTACAATTAATGCAACGATGATACGGCAATGAATAGACGCAGCCTGATCACTGGTGTTCAGGCTGCTTATGAGTGAAGAGATTGGCGTATGACTTTTACTATATGAGATGGATGTGAGGCACGAATGCGGTGACTTGGGCAGCATTGCTGTGGCATGAGCTAGCTACCGTGGAGCCGTTTATATACCTTTGCGCTAGGCGGAGTCAGATTACAATAGGCGGAGTCGGGCTACAGTAGGGCAGAAAGACGGGTGCTGGAAAGCGATATTCAAAGCCTGGGACCGTAAGTGCTGATATTTTACGAGATAGGCGCCAGCGAAATGTTAGACATACGGCTATCAGATCGTTATGGAAAAAAGGTCATGGGAGAAGCATTTGAAATGTTTGGAAAGGTTATAATTGATTTACATAGAGAACATTCCAATATTCGTGAAGAATGTTCTCTATACGGTCACCCGACTTTCCAATGTGATGTCTTCGTTGTCATACCGAGTCGAATCTTCATCAGTGGAGTATCGATCGAATAAGGCAACCTCACCCTGTGATACTCTTTACACAGAACAGTTGTTGATGATTGTGATTGTCGTGCAGGCTTAGGTTGACCGTTGAAGAACAGATCATCAACCTTGAAGTGGAAGACATCGAAACGCTGACCAAATAAGTGCTTGGTAACAGCGTCGTATTAGCTTAACAATAAAATGAGGTACATTTTCTATTCATGTGGAATTAAAATGAAATTCGGTTAACAATGGATGTCTCGTTATTCTTGCTTTTCGTCTGACGGTTTTAGTTCACTGAAATTTAGCATCTCTTCCATATGAGTGGTATTAACCATGTAGGCTCATGTAATGTTTTCTTAGCTTTACACATATATATATATATATATATATATATATNATATATATATATATATATATATATATATGTACGGACGACTTTTAAAGAAAAAGAATAAAGGCAGGAATTGGCACATGATTTAGTGATTGCCTACATACACCCTACTTTTTTGCAGTACTAAATAAGAATCCGACCAAAAATTTTCTTGTAAAGTGAAAATTATAGTCGACTTCATTAGCGAGGATCAGTCCATAAAGGCTATTTTTCGGAGGCATCAAACCTGAATATGTGCAAGTACACCAAAAACCAATTAAATCCAATGCAGGTGCGATAATCAGGTTTCTTCTTTCTTTCCGGCAGCAACAGCAGTCAATTGTCAAGACTAGGAAGTCTAATGAATTGGGATTTACGAGAGTGGGTTGCAAGTGGTGAGGCTGTGCTGAACACTAAGCATATGGATGGTATTGCAGAGTAATGGAGATGTACTCGCTCGAAAAATGCGGCGTCAGCCACTTCGGTGGCTAGGATGTTGCTAACAATGCCACGTGACAGACGGTAGATAAGGAGACCATTTTTAGAGAAGCCGAAAAGCAAAGTGCTTTGGACCGAGTAACCACCTGCATCATGTGTTGTCTGGTGATCGTCGAGGGACTAGAGCAAACGTCAGTAAAGGTTCCATTTCTTCTTATCGCGTGCAAGAGCTACCAGTGAGTTTTGCTCGCTCGATGGACTCGATGGACATCATATTCTTCTTCTAGGATTTTCGCGAAGAACGTTGACCAACGGGTCGGTGGTCTTCTTGCAAGTACGTTTGACATTATGAGGAATTCAGTTACTAACGGCTGTTGTTAATCGGTTGTCATTCATATGCATTATGTGTCCGGCCCACATTATCTTCGACCGTTTGGCGTGTTGAACCGCATCCTTGAGCTTTGATCGCCGACGGTGAGAGCCACACATTGCCTCTCTCATTTGAGTGATTCGAGATACTCTGAGCATCGTCCTTTCGACTCCTCGTTCAAAAACGTTGAGTCATCTTTCATCCCTCTTACACAGCCGCCTGGTTTCTGACGCATATATTAATGAGGCAGAAATCGTGCAGGCGAAAAGGTGGCTCAGAAGCGGGTGTTCCTTGTTGTCCTCACTGTATCTTCGATGTTGTCGAATGCTCTTTAAGCTAGCTCGCTCCTTGTTGCTCAAGTTTTGAGCTATGTCTTTTATCTTGTTGACTTCTCGATCTAGATAAACGCAGCCGAATGATTCGGTGATATGGAGATATTCACTTAGTTGAACATGAATGACGCATACAAGACCACTCT